GAGGGTCTTCATGGTGAGGACCAGGATGTGAGTGCCTATGGACTTTGGTATGAACTCTAGTTTGAGCCAGAGTTGGCTGATTAGGCCTGGGAAGCAAAACCACTGGAACAAATGCTCATCCTCATGAAGTCATTTGAAGAGTATTTCATGTCATTTCAGATACCCTGCTGCTGTTTTGGGTTTATGCAATCCTACAATCTGTAACAAATCCTTTGTTGTGACATGTCTAGATGAACGCCACACATCCAGAAATTCTTCTTTGAGAAAAGAACAGTGTGACCAAAGGTTAGCATCTTCATGGGAATGGCTGGAAATTTCCTTCAAACTATTTTCCTTTGATTCATTCTGAAACACATATGCAAGAAGCTCATGTTCTTGTTTATATGCAATCTCTATAGTTAATCCTCATTAGATAAATACCATCTGTGGGTCTATTTTTGAGCTGTTTCTTAATGTCCTACCAATTTGAGTAGCTATTCAAATTTAGCTGACTAATATTAAGTATAAATAGATGTTCACTTGTTTTATCAGAAGTGGTATTCCAGCTGGGCATGGTGGTGCACACCTATAATTCCAGCCTTCTGGAGGCTGAGGCAGGAGGGTTCCTATGAGTCCAAGACCAGCCTGAGCAATATGAGTGAGTTCAAGGCTATTCTGCATTACATAGTAAGACCTCATCTCAAAAACAAACAAAGAAAACCTACCAAGAAATGGTATTCCAAGTGTTCAATACCCATGTGTGTCTAGTGTTCTTCCATATTGTTCATTGCAGATGTAGAATATTATATTATCACAGAAAGTTCTTAGCACCAAAAATTAGGTAAAGCTTAAAGAAGATTTTTGATTTTTTTGTTTAACTAGACACATCAAATGGCCTCCCATTGATAATATTAAAATATTAGATGAAATATTTTAAAGCTATTAAATATTCACTGAGCTGGTATTGAAAAAAGGAAACCATAGTGTCCAAGTGAAGTTACAATAAAAATCCTTCAAGCAAGGCACACACTACAATTGGAATTTCTAAGAGTCTTATGGATACTGAGCTTCTGATTGGCCATATGAGATACAGGAAATGGAGTATGAACCTTAGAGACCACCCAGTGAAAGTCTTTTGGGAGAGCTTGTGCTTTATGCTTTGATCCTTCAGCATGGCACCCTTGTAGATGACATAAACTAAAAAAACCCTCTCTCTGCAGAATACAATATCAGTGAAAAAAATACGTATCCTGTAGTAAAGAATGGAGGGGGAATGGAGTTTTCTAAGAAATGTGTACTCATAAAATAACTCTTACCAAAGCTTTGGTTCTTTTTCACATTGCCTTTGCCACCTGGAAAATTTCATGCACATTCCTTAGCTCAGGTGGGAGCCATTTGATAATTTGCTTGGACATCTGGCAGAGAATAATGACTTTTTCTTCACTGGGAGACAATTCAAGTTTGGACTCACATTCCAAAATTTCCACAGACAAAATTCTAAATAAAAACAAGAACGTTACAGTTCAAAATTCACAATACACAAGGAAAGGAGATATTACCATTGAAAACAAGCCGATAGCACAGAAATGATCAGGCATAGAAGGTAAAATAATATGTAGCTATTAATTTTAAAATTCAGTTGACATCAATAATTTCTAATAAAGTGTAAGCAATAATAACAGGCTCAATATCAAGGGAGAATGTGTATATATCTATATCATGCATATATCTGGTAATATGAATAACTAGTTGGAAAACAATACTATGTATTTCAACAAATAGTGTGAAATTCATATTACTTTGTTAAGTGAAATTCTGTTTCACTTGTAATATTGTTCTGCTTTAATTCTAATTTGTACTCTCTTTAAAAAAATGAAAAAAAATATTTTCAGTGTCAAACAGATTGCCTGCTCTGCCAAAGGTTCCCAATAAGTATGAATAAAACTTTGTACGAATGATTAATAAAAACAGGTTCATGTCTTATGGAAAAAAATATCCCCCAAATACTTATATTTGTAATTAAATATTTTCCCACACAGAAAATACTAGCTCCAGATTTTCACTGCATTCCAATAGGTATATTTTATTATTATTATTATTATTATTATTATTATTATTATTATTATTTAGCAGAACAGGGGATTGAACTCAGGCCCTTGCACTTGCCAGGGAAATGCTTATTCTACTAAGCCATCTCACTAGTCCTCAATAGATATGTTTTAGATTGAAAGGTTCCAGAATGAAAGAATCTATTACAGAGTATAGAAAAGAAAATAATTACAATTATTTAAATTACAGTAACCTTGATATAACATATAACAAAAATGACATAAGAAAGTGAGGTACAGGATCATCTTATCAGCATAAATGCAAAACCTCTCAATACAACATTAATAGAATAAGACTAAGGTAGTATAAAAGATCAGATTCTATCATCGGTAGTATTGTTATGTCAATTTGAAGCCAAGGAACAAATCAATATGAATCATTCCATTAATATCTTTTAGGAGAAAAATGTGGTTATCTAAATATATACAGAAAAATTACTTGACAAAATTTACTACATAGTACAAAAAAAGAATGCAAAACAACCTCTCAGCAAAGCAGAAATGGAACTTGCTCAGTTTAATAAGGAGCTTCTACTAAGTATATATCAAGTATAATAGTTAAAGATGAAGTGATCAGTGATGTATAATGCACCTAAGGAGAGTCACCTAGACAGAAAACATTCTCAGGTTTTCACAGAGAGCAAATTGGTCAAGCAATGTCCATGACTCATCCAGATGGATGATACTGACAAAAAATCTACAAGATGTTGTACACGGTTTCAGGATAAATCATGAGGGGATTTGACTGACCTTGTCAGATACAAGTTACATTTCTTGTTGTATAGGTCTTGCTTTATCTTGGTCTTAACTATCCAGCAGAAAAGTATAAAAATGATGTATAAAATGTAAAGCCATATTAATATGCTGAGATGTAAAAGGCTCAAGTAAGCAACTTCTGACATTTGCCAGTCCTACAGATAACCCACTATTATGGCCTACTGGACTATATTGGATTATTTTGCTGAATTCATGCACTTACAGTATTTAAATGGCAATGGAATACCCAGCTCTGGCAAAACTAAACAAAAAAGGGGGATATAAATGAAGGACCATTTTGTAGTGATATATATATA